ACCTGAAAAAAAATTGAAAGCCGTTAAAATCAAAATTTCAACCGAAATTGAGATTAGCTCAAATCAGAGTATTATAGAAGCTCAAGATCAGACATGTTTCACTAATCTCTGATCAGCGCTTAATGTTTTACACTTGGCACCTTTAGCAACCATCTTTAAATTATGAAATGTGATTTTGACAACTGGGAAAATGTTTCTTTAAATCAAAGGATATCAGAATAAATTTGTAAATTTGCACATTAATTTAATTTCATAACCGCTGGGCATCAGAAGACATTCTATAAAGTGAAAGTAAAGTTATTGTTTTATGAGGGGTTTTACAAGCCATATGTGTGGCTTGATGTGCTGACATGATTTATGGCATGTACGATCCTTCATAATTTTTGCTTTGCTGGCATTTCCACAAATCATGTGGAAAAGCATCAATAGAGGAAAATCCTTTATCCTGGGGTTGGGTTTCATTGGTAAGGAATGACTTGGGGCTATTCCACAGCTGGCCCACCACCTGCAGGGGGAACTATGATTGACTGGTGCAAAGACTGGGCAGCAGTCAGAGGTGGAGGCAGCGACCTGACCATGAGTGTCCATGGGTCAGGTTACTGACCCATGGACACTCAAAGATCTGGAGCCTGAACTTTTGTGGTAAAGTGATACCGGCAAGAAATAGTTGTGTTCATCACGACGCATACAGTAGCCTTGGCTCTGGAACCCAGCTCATTGATAGAGACTTGATTTTCTTCTACTCCTGCTTATATGCTTCGGATCATTGTCCTGATGAATCAGTGCAAACAAAATGCATTTATATTACTATATAAATGTTATCAACAAGACCACATGTGTAAACGCATCATCAAACCTTTACAGAGACTTTTTCCTTTTGTAGTTCACTCACCATCTTCCCTTATTTCCATCAATTTGACATATAAATATTACACATACCTTTGAATATTTTGTATTACTAAAGGCTAGAATAATTAAAAGTGTTTATTTTTGCTTATCTGGTATCAAAGCCTGATATTTGTGTGTGATGTTCTTTATATGATGTATTTATAACCAGTATTATAAAAATCTTCTAGCACTTCTTTCTTGTAGTGTCAAAAGACTGTTTTGAACATATATCGTTTTGACAGAGTAAAAAGGATGGATTTACTCCTCTGTACTGTCAGCTGAGAACACAGCATAAGCCTAGTTTTCATTTAACCATCTGAAATTTCAATTTTGTTTAAAGGGACGCTGCATACTTACATAGATACTAATCTAAGATTACACAACTGTTTGCATGCTGTAATGGACAATAACTGCAGAACTAAGTGTAATCATGGGAAAATAGTTATAAAATCTCAACACGGTAAACTCCAATTATTGCTTAAAAATACAACTGAAAAATGTGTTTCTTTCAAGATAGTTTTAGCAAAAGGTAGAATTGGGCTGATGAATATCCAGCCAACAATTGAATCTTTGTGGTGTCTAAGATACAGTTAGTGGTATTCTTACTTTTCTTAACCTATGCTTGTACATCAGGACTGAGAGATTTACATATCAGCCTGTGGATTATTTTTCTGTCTGTAGAATGACAGACTTAAAACAGTTTTAAAATTCCCTGTTATCCCTAGTGAGCTGCACTGATTGTTTCCCTAAGGTTTAACCATTTTTTTTCTTACATTGTGTTGACATAAGGTCTTCGTAAACTGTTGCTAAACTTCCAAAACTCGTGTTTTTACAGTATAGTGGCGGTTGAATTGTTGATATCAGTTTACTCTGAGTGCATATGATCAGGGGGCTTATGTACTTTTTGTAGCTGGCTCTAAATCTTATCTTAAGCAATGCTTTATTAGTCATGAAAATGATTTCAGCCAGCATTCAGTGTCTTTATTACTATTTGTTGTTCCCCACACTTTCTGCCTCCCCCGTGTTCACAGGTCTCTTTTCATCTAACATACTGATATGCATAAACACTCTTGGTTTCTGTATCAGCTTTTAGATCCCACAACCTGATTAAAGTCTGCTTTGTGTACTGTTTTTATTCTTAGTGAGGCATTTGAAAATATCTCCAGCCTGAGTCGATATAGACAGAGTCTGAGTTACAATCTCAGTCCCTAGTGGATTCACACCAGCAGGCTCTGAATGGTAAAACTGTTAGCTCAGTGGTCTTGTTAAGAAGCAAAGACATTTCACTAAGAGCATTTTGCATTGCTAGTGCCTCATAGATCATTTGAGTGGCCAAATGCCAGCTGGCATCATCAAAGTAAAAAAAAAAAAAGTTGCTTCAGGTTGAAGCATTAACCCTAAGGATCATACAGCTATCTGTTAAGAAAAATACTTTCTCATGCACGTTCTTTAGCAATGTTCATTTTCTTAAGCCTCTCCTCTCCAGCTTCACCACAAGAGACCTGGCTAAGCAAAAAAAATTAGGTTTCTGAGATTCAAGTTTATTGAAGTCGCTTACATAATAGATGTGTACCATCACATTTGATCTCTGGATTATTCAAGCACTTATTCTCATCTAAATACTCTTTGTAAAGTGCCCACAGATTATGTATTATGGATTAAAACTGTGTAGATAAACTGAATTGAACTGACAATTGTGTCAATACTGTAAACTGTTTGTTTCTATGGCTATTCTGGCCACAAGGGACCGCTGTTGGGCACCTGTCTATCTTGCTTTTGCTTTGGTAGTGAGTTTGTGTCTGTCATGTGTCATGTCATGTGTCTCGTTGTGTTTCCCTCCTCTGCCACCTGTTGTCAATTTTGCAATTAGTCTGTGTATTCAAGGGCTCTATTTTTTTGTTTGTTAGGCGCTGAGTGTTTTTCTTGCATCCATATTTCTGGCGACCTCCTCTGAGTTCTTTTTGTGCTTGTGATACTTTGCGCTCTGGGACTTTAATGCTGGCATACTTAGGTTTTCAAAAACATTTGGCATTGCCAAACATTATTTTTTTCCATTTTGGATCCTTTGTACTTGTTATTTCTGAAATGCCCCAGGACTTCTATTGTGGATCTTCTGAATTATTATTTTTTTTAATCAACTGAGTTTTGGGGGGAAAAATAAAAGGAAATCTCTGCACTTGAATCTTTACCATCTACCTGGACTATAGAACCTACCAAGCCGACGTCCCGGGTTCAATCCCAGAGTCAGTCCTAACATAAACAGTGGATGTTGCATCATCTGATAATCAGGGCCCCTTTTAGTGGGCAGGATATAATGTGTTAATGTCTTCTCTCTCTGAAGTGTTCAGTTGTCCGATGGAACAGGAACAGTTATAAATCAGTGGTCATGATTCTCTCATTGAGACCACAGAGCAAATGCTGGTCATTGTCGTTGAATCCAACAAACAAGTTACCATTTCTCAAATTGCAGAAGAAGTTTGTGCTGGTTTTGAAAGGTGTCAGAATAAACAGTGCCAGATCCAGAACTCTACCACGTCACAATAAAAGAAGAGGCCCTGGTGGTCTGTCGCTACTCTGAGAAACACACAGGAATGGAATGCACTGCAGAAAAAAATGTATGTTGCCATAATCAGTCTAATAGTAAAAATGCATTAATGGATATAGACAGGGTCTGTTTTGGCAGCAAAAATTTGACCGACATTTGATCAACACATTATAACATGCGTTTTTTTATATCTGATAGTAATCCCCTCCATTTTATTCAAGACCAGTCACTGATGAATGATCCTAAAAGCTAAGCAATAATTACAAACAACAGCCTACACTTACACATTAGGCTCTTTGCTTTAGTGCATGTGTGTGTCTTTCTTTTAAATTAAAAATATGGCTTATATTTGCTAAAACAGATAGATGCACACATCCTTGGAACTGTTTACCATCCGTCGCCATTACGTCGGCAATTACTCAGAGGCTGAAAATAAGCTGCCTCATTTGCAGGATGCTAAGCTGCTCTGGCTGAGATCTTCAGCTTTATTAGCCTGTTGTTTTGGAGCTGCTTTTGACAGGAAGCTGAGCAATAAATTAAATAGATGGCTTGATAAAAAGCTTGCTGTGCAGAATTCTTCACGCCAGATTTTTGAGAAATCACGACACCGTAGCTCATAACAGACGATGTGTTCCCAGGGTGATTTATGAAATCAATTTGTCTTGTTATCAGTAGCCAGAGTTCGTCAGATAACATCACAGCCCATGCATCCAAATTTCTTGGGGGTAGAATGAAACAAGGAACAGAGTGTGCGTTTTCATTTTATAATTTTTTTTCTTTGTATCAGACATGTTGAAAATCACAATCGTTCATTTCAAGCGTTGATGTTGCATCGTGCTGTGAAGCATGTAAAAAAATTATGCAGAGTTGATTAAATCCTGTAACAGAATGAAAAAAAAGTTCTGTCTAAGACAGTTGGTTTCTCTGGTGCTCTGTATGCTACAGTGACTTATTTCTGCAAGCTGGCTTTGAAAAGCCTGCAGCTCCACTTTGCATCATCTCAGTCTGTGCCTGCTTCCTAGACAATCATTGACATGTGAGGTGGAAAGACAGAAAGCACCTTTATACCCGGACATCTGGTAACAGAAATGGCAATTTGTGTGTGTGCACGCAAACGTGAGATTCCTTACAGCTCGCCTTTATTTTGGGTCAGTGAAGCAGAATCCTCAGAATGTCTTTCCAGACCTACATGTGAATTCTGCAGTGTCTGGTCACTCACCTTACTATGCTTCAGTCCATCTACTCATTCTCTCCCTGGGGAGCAGGTGGAAATACTATTTTTACCTAAGGATCTAGTTTGGGAAAAAGGAATTATTTGGAAAAGTATTGGGTTCCACTCTGTGTTAAGGAGGAGATAAGCAGTTATTTTGCCAAAGAAGTCAAAGCAGTGAATCTGAAGTGACAGCAGAAGGGATGAGATATTTCAAGATATGTCTTGATGGATGCGGTTTAATCTTAAGCCTGCCAGATGTGTCAAGGATTTGCAAACACCTTGTGGAGTAAATCTCCTTGCGTTGCCGCTCTCTCATCTTGTACCTCCATTCCCGTTTTCTGTCTGTCTCTGCAGTGAAGTTTGAGGATTGCCAACGCAGCAGAGAGGTGGGCTTTGTCAGCAGCGACCCCAACTTCAGCGTGAGGCCTGATGGGAGCGTGTACACAGAGCAGGAGGTGGCAAACCTCTCAGAACCTGTCCAGTTCATGGTGACGGCGCGGGGGCTACATGATCCTCACATCTGGGAGACCACAGTGAAGTTGGCCCTTGCCGGACATCTTCATCCTCTACCACTCTCAAAGGTACAACACTCTGCTAGGTTAGAAACTACACAATAGCTGACCGTTGCTTTGTTATTTGTTCCACTTAAGGTGTTTTATCATTTATTTACAGTAGGCCTAAATTATCTGCTTTTAATCCCTTAATAAAATCTCTTAGATCATTATGAGGGTTTGGGTTCTTTTTTGTAAAAAAAATCCTATAAAGATGATCATATCAACCGACCATGATGTGAAAGAGCTTTAATACAGACAACTGAAGACATGATTAGATTTCCCTTATCAATTTAGATTCATGGAAACAATTTTCTCAGCTTGAGCTTATAGTACCCAGCAGTGGGTTCAAAATGTCATGCTGGACAATAAATTCAACATTTATCTTCAGGGAATGGCTAATTTTACTTTTGTCTTATATCCAAGGTTTCATACATTGATTTTCTATAATTAGGACAAAATCTCATTTTCCAACAATCATTTAATTAATTTCAGTTTGCATATTATAGCTACTTTTTTTATTGTTGTTTTGGAGGTTGATTAGACTATAGCCCAAATTGGAAATCAGCTGCCAAAGGTGAATATAATGCTTCCACAAAGGATGTGTTTAAAGCTCTGCACTTTTCTGCAAACAGTTTAATACACATTTAGATTTTTTTGCAAACAAACCCAATCAGGTTTTGGCTCTGATTTGATACATGCAGAAAAACTGTAAGATTAAAAGAGTTCTGAAATTATTCAGAATGGCTTCCTTCTATTTCACTTCAGAGATACCTGCCATTTTAAAAGCAGTGCGTACACTTTTGAGAGCCACCACAAAATTAAATTGTATTCAGCACTGCCGTTTCATCATCTCATTCCTTTTCAAACTTGGAGCAACAGGTTGTGAACATTAATGTGGTTGGTACTCAAAGCTCCTTCTTTCTAATGAGCCAGCAAATGGTGATTACAGATCTCTGTTTAAGTCTTCAGCCTTAATTATTTATATTTGATGAAAGCTAAACTTAATTAAATTTGATTGAAAAATGTTCTAAAAGACTGTTAATTTCAGACCTGCGTTTCCTGATTGGGTGTTATTCATTTTGTAGCTGAGGGTTGATAAAAGCATCTTTCTGATTAATTTCCCAATCAGAAAGTCAATCCACAGAATACTGATCCCTGCAATAAAAGTTAGAAAAGATTAACGTAGTAAAATTGCAACATTTGCAATGCTAGAGCTACTTTCAATTTAACTCTCTTGTCCTCCATTTATAAAATCATACAGCGCTTACAAGCAATGTCTATATAAAAAGATGGGAAAATAATTGCCTCATTTGTTTTTAACTTAGACTATATCCACAGGGTACATATACTACTGTATATACACATAGGTAGAGGTGTCTCCTCGGTCGCCGTATCTGCCCCCCACTACTTGTTGAACACCATTAGGCAAAATGTTCACTCCTGTCTCTAATCATGACAAAAGGCCTACGTCTCACGTAGATAAAGTAGTCACAGAGTGAGGATTAAAATTCTGCCCATTCCTGTGGGTGCAATAATGGAGACCGGGGGGATAATTGACATTGATTGAGGTAATGTTCCACTCTGGTAGAGTCTGCAAAGACCAGGTGATGTAGTTTCGTTGTATAATTATGTTCCACACATCATGGAGCAAGGGAAAGATTCAATAATTGAGAGAGTAGAAAAAAAAGTGTTTTATTTGATGACATCAGTCTTTAAAAATGAGTTTGTCTACATATTGTGCATCCATTCTTGTTTTTCCCATCGCAGTATTTATTCGATCTCCCGTAATTTTTAACTAGAATTGTTAGTAGTTGAAATACTTCAAATTGGTTCATAAAACCATTGATATAATAAAGTATGACAAATTTATTACTGCTTTTAATGAATAAACTTTTCAGTGCTTTGGTTTAATTTCTCTGTTTGAGATATTGTGTTTTGAGTTATTTTTGCATTTTCTGTGTTTGCTTTTGTTGCTGTTTATTGCTCTCCTAGGTATTTGATGTTTCCCCTTGTCATTTGTCTAATCTCCTCACTTCCTTAACCTTGCTGTCCAGCTCGGGAACCTTTAGTTCTGGTTATTGTTCTTACATGTTTGCTGCTTCACAATCTGACCTCATAGGTACATAAGCTCCCTGGTTTTCAATGTTCCTTGCTTGTTTCTACAAATGCTGTCATCCATAGGCTTCTTTTGTGTTTTCTGTTTATTTTCTTTCAGATTTTATTAATTCTTTAATAATTCAGAGTTCCTACATACAATAAGTGTTGGCCAAAGCAATAAGCTAATCTGAAACAGGATTTAACAGTATTTTCAAGCAGTCAAGGCCAAAAACGTTTCATTTTTGCATTGCTTTTAAAATGTATTTGTAAATCTTGAATTTCTTCAAATTTCATCAAATTAAAGCAAAAAAAATGTATTTTTTTTATTGGACGTTTATGTCATATAACAACAGAAAATATTAACTGTGAAGCTGGGCAAAAACAATAGATTGCTGCAAAATTATTTTGGAACTAAGGTCTGAAAAGTTTGGCATCAGGCACATGAAGTTAGCTCCTTTTAATCTGCCATTGTTAAATAAAATGTACTATAACAGCACATTCTCACTCCCACTCAGGTCACATATTGTAGATTCTATTGACTATAACTGCTGTTTATTTCAAACTGTATAAATTTAACTTTCCTGTAAAGGCTTTAGAGGCCTTTGTTAGTGAACTTAAGCAGACAAAGGGCGTCATCAAGAGCAGAGGACAAACCAGACAGGTCAGGGCTAAAGACATGGCTTTTACGTAATAGTGGCTAAAAGAAGACCTTTTTTAAAAGTAGGTCACCAGAAGGTCTTTTTTGTAGCTTTCTATACTAAGCAGACACAGAAAACATGTTGAACAAGATCCTCTGATCAAATGAGATCCTAACTGAATTTTTCAGTCAATGTTAAAAACACTATGGGGGGAGGAAATAATGTATAACACTGTGCATTACACTACAGTAAGTAGACCATACCCATGGTAATACAGTAGATCCCCATGCCGTTGGGGTTATTTCCTTTGGCAGAGACAAAGAAAATGCAGGTCATCCTGGAGGAAATTCTGTTAAACCACATATGAGTGATCGTTTACCTTTATTCAAGGCGGTAAACCTAAACATAAAAAAGCTTTAGAAGCAAATCATGCCTCGAGATATGAAAGGCTGGTAGAGACACACAACCAAACTAAGAATAGTTTAAAAGTTTTAATAATATATTTATTATAGTTAATTTAAGCACTATTTTCTGTTGGTCACTAATACTAGATTCCAATTAAAGATACTGTGATGATATTTAGAGGATGCACATGGTTCTACCCGGTTCACTGTATGTTAACCATTCTATCTTTTCAGAGATATTTCTGATAACAGTTAATGATTAAATCCCCATGAAGTGTTTATAATTGAGTGAAAGATTAATTGGAAACAATTGGCAAGCGAAAAATTGCCCTTTAAAACATTTGTCCTCACTGAAACCTACAAGTCACTATGAATTAGATTTTAATGACTTCATGTGGAGGGTGGAAAATCGATCCACATGTAATGGACGTAGAAGGGCTGTAATCAGCTCTCAATAAACCTGGGAGTGTCTTTACAAGGTGGTTTTCTCAATTCCACTGTTAACAACAGAAACAATGATATAAAAGTAAATAAGCCATAATTGCTAGGTTAATAGCCTCTATGTGACCACATTTCAAGGTCTGGATAAATATGAACTAAGTATGGAAAATTTTATACAATTGCAGACATAATTTAATTTCCCAAGCATATTAAAAAAAAGATTTCTTAAAGATTTTTTTTACCCTATTTAGCATTTGAATGGTAAAATGTCTCTATTTTCTCTAAATGTGGGGTTCTGAGTAACTGAATAACACTTCAGAAGTATTAAGGGGCCATTTTACAGATTTTTTGAGATCCTATACTGAACCACTGAAAATGTAATTGTTAAAATAGTTGAGTTGCCAGCAATAAACATTATTAAGAATCAAAGTTTACAAATTAAGCTTTTATAGAAATTGTATTATTTCCTTATCTATCATGCAGCAAATAGTAAGTCACCTCTCCCCCTCCAAAAAAAGTGGTAACTCAAAATAGAATAACATTTTCAGTCTACACACTTTATGACATTGAAAAAAAGTCTTTTACAGATATTCATAAAAATTGTGTAAGATGTTAAGGTGATTTTCTGTGTGTTTTGGTAGCTTTACATTTTGTGACAGAGGTTTCTTTGATTAAAAGAAAAAAAAAACATGACCAAAGTAAATGTATTTCCTCTCTTCTTGTCTAAAATAACTTGTGAAGTATTACACAAATCATTGTGTAATAATAGTAAAACTATAAAAGTTTATATGCAGCAAATTCTCCAGCTTATTTAAGAGAAATATTTGCTTTAATACATTAACAACCAACTCTCATTTTAAGCCTAATAAATGTAAGAACATCAGAAAATTACTGCTTCCTTGGCCTAGAAGGTTAGTTTAACAATACACCGAACCATACCATACTTGTCTGTTATAAATATGGCTGCTTAGCAGTTAAAAGAAATGCTCTTTCTCCAGCTAAATTCTGCCAAAGCACTCAGTATTCAATTCCTCTCTGAAGATAAATAGTGTTAAGGGGGTTAGACTTGTTAAAGATATGCCAAGCTTAGTTTTTAACTGTAAAAGTAAACTGGCATTTGCTCCATATTATATATTTCATTCCTGCTGCTCATGTTTTGTTGAGTAGTTAAAGTTAATTTGCTTTTAATAACCAGCTTCATATCTCACATTTCTGTTTTAGAGACAAACATTTGCATACTTTGAATGTGTAGCACTAGATACAATTTAGCATTTATTTTTCAAGTGTACAATGCTGTATCATTTGAAGTGTGAAGCATCTTTGTCTGAAAGCCCTTCCACTGCATTTATTTGTTCAGGTTATCACACCTCGTGCAGGTAGGGCCCCTGGTGGAGTGCTCTCTAACTCGGGCTGATTTCATGGCTCGACTGTTTGCCGTCTCCACCTGATCTGAGCCCCTTCAGTTATGCGCCAATGAGTCTGGAGTCCACCCGTTGCCGAAGCATGTTTTAGTGCTTATTTAATTTGCATTTTCCACTCAGCGCCAACCAAGCACGCTTTCCTGTTCAGGGCAGATTACGACAAAGGCCGTCAGTGTGCAACACTGGACCCCAGGGTCTGCTGGACATCGGAAATGGAGCAGAAGCAAAGTGCTTTTAACTTCAAACTTTTAGATTGTGTTGGGAGACTATAATGGAAAGCTGAAGGTCCCAACAGGAAAACAGTATCAAGAATTTCATGTTTTTTTTTTCTTCAGAGTTTTATTTAAGTGTCAGAAACATTTTTTTCTTCATTTTGGTTTTTGCAAAAATATCTCATGGGAGAACATTCTCCTTATTGAAGACTTTTGCTGTGATCTCATTCAGCTAAGGGATCTTCAGTGATAAAAACATAAAAGAAGACATGCTGAACAGAGAATTGGCAGCAAACACACACATTTATTGAGCTGCTCTGTCTGTTTGTCAGACTGATAACCTCCAGATGTCTGCTCCTGGGCTTTGAGTCTACAGGCCCTACAACTGCCCCAGCAGTATGTGGGAACTGAAATACGGCAGCTGGCTTTTTATGCCTGTTGGGTTCAGGGCCCCTAGCAACATGGGGACACACACATTGTCTTCACATCACATTTTCACACACATGCCTACACACCCAGTAACCCACACACAATTAGATACATCCACATATATTTCCATGCATTTTATTTTTACACTATCAGACCTCTAAGAAATATGCTTTCCCTATTGCCAGCTCACATGATTTTTTACATTGAAATGACCGAATCTCAATGGATGCAAAGAACTCTATCCACACCTACATGTATATACTGTTAAATGTCACTTTACACATATTTAGAAAAACTATAGCTGTATCTATTTTTTTGGTTTCATTAGAGGAGAAAGATAAGATGACAAAAGAAGCATTAGAATAAGGAAGTAATAAGATTTAAGTGACCTTAATTGGGGCATGGCTGATGGTAATAAAAAGTATTTTAGAAAATATTGATATAGTAGGATTTCCACCGACAGCAACCACTCAGGATAAAATAAGTATTTTTTCAAAGATAATGGAAACGATCTCGTAGCACAAACAGCCACTAGTTACAACCAAGAAATGTTGGATATCATCTCTCAATATACGGCACATCTAAGCTTTAAGTAAATGAGCTACAGCAGCAGAACAGCAAACTGGGTGCCTCTCTGATCCGATAAAAACAGTCAACTGAGGCCGATGTTAACACAACCCACTGAAATTGGACAATTTCAGACAGAATGTTGGGTGGATCAGATCTTGGCCGAAAAAAAACATGAGAACATGGAGCCATTCTGCATAATATTAGTGGTTGGAGTTGCTGGTAGTACTATGATTTAAAGTTTGTGCGACTGAATGTTGTTTCATTAGTGTGGCACAGTCTGTCCATCACTTCATAAACCACCCACTTTCTGATCTTTAAAAGTTCAAACCATGTCAAAGAAGTTTCTTGAACCATTGATCTTGATCCATTACAGTACCTTTTAAATTCTTTGGAGCAGGAGGCTCCCATCACAGATATGTAGCCTGCAAATCTGTCTCAACTGTGTTATAAGCGGCCCCAGAGGCAAAAAGGGGGTCCAAACTGCCATTTGGGAGTTGAAGCGTAAAAGTGGCCAGTGAGTGTGTATAAAGAAAAAAAAAACACGACCCTAATTTAATAGATACACATTGTTGTTTCCAAGAAGCTTGTTGGGGGTGTACTCTGTGTTATTTTTTTTCTTTGTAATTCTGTTTCTGTCACAACGCCAGCAGCATTTCATCAGCCATGCTGTTTGAAAGTCTCAGTCACATGCTTTCACTATGCAGATACTGTATCATCCATGAGCAGACTTCAACTAAAGGATATCTCTCTGCTGAATTCCATTTCTCTGCCTGACTGTCTCCCTTCTTCATTTCTTAATTTCTTTCAAAAGAATGCTGAAGCCTGACCAATGAAATATTTCAGCCCTGTTATCAACGACTCTTCATCAGTTGGCAGATTGTCGTATGGTGCAGTCTATTCATTCATTGTATTTTGCTATTGATAGCTGGGAGGAAAGATACAGACTTTATCGCAGGAGCTGTTCACTAGGATGGGTGTAGATGAAGAAGAACAGCTTTGGCACGCGTTATATGTCATTACATTCTTAAGGCACTCACATACCGCAAACTCTCATGGATGATTTGTCATCCACATTAAACCATTTTTAATTGTTGGCTGACTGTTCATACTAGAGCTGAAAATTCATATGAACGTTTGCAGATATATTTACTCAAATTGTTCCCGTTTTGTACCATAACAAACAAAAACAGCAATGCTTTTTGTGGGGACACAAACAAGGACATTAATATAGATGGAAAATTGTACTTTTTATAGATTTTTTTCAAATGACAACTTGAAAGGTTGGACGTGTATTCAGCCTCCGTTATTAAGATACCCCTGACAGTAAAGCTTTTAATGGCAAGAAAAAATCATTTGTTAAAGAAAGATATTAGAAGTTCTATTTCATGAGACATGTAAGGCACACAAGCATGTAACAGAAGATGCTCTGGCCAGATGACACCAAAATATGTTTTTTTAGTCAACATGCAAAACAAAAGATAAAGAAAGCTAACATAATCCCCTCAGTGGTCCATAATCTAAGGAGTTTTGTCTCCAGGATAAAGGTTATTAAACATTATCTCCAAAAAAAATTTGAGGTCCTCAGAGACTTACTATTGAGAATAAGATTGAATAATTAGGGAACCTTTGAAGGCATTTGCTTACATTGTTTTATATGCAGATGTGAGAGTAAAGGTATCAGTATATAAATGCATTGCAAACTTTCTGATTTGAGAAAAACTTTTAGAGCCCTATACCCATAAACATATGTATGCTACTTTGTGTTGATCTGTCACTTAAAACACATTTAATTTTAAGGATGTAACCCCACAATGGGAACATAACCAATTTTATAAGCTACAACTTCAAGAGAAAAGCTAATTATATCACCTGAGTGTTTTTGAATAATCTGATTCCTATGAAAAGTGTTCCATATCTTTCAGCACTCCCACCCTTCTTAACCCTTTTTGTCCAACATTTGTTCAGATGGATTCAATTCTCTAAATTTCAAACTCAAACAAAAGAAAAATGAAAACATTCCCTGCTTTTACCTGAATGTAGCATTTGGTCTGACTCCCTCACAGGCAGAGCAGGTCCATCCTGATAGGATGGACTGCTGGCCCATGTTTGCTTTTTTTGAGACGTGTCCATGACTGCTCGTGTGCACTGCCAGCTGCAAGCTGTGCTGCATGTGGTCCAGGTGGGATTAGCAGGAGGATTTCCACTGTGCTTCAGGTGACAACGACACACTGCCGCTGAATGTGTGTGTGTTTGCAGAGTGGAGACTCAACAATAGGATTAGTTGGATTACAGCAAAACAGCCATATTACACATGAGAATAGCATAAAGGATACACTGCTGTAAAACACTGCTTTACACGCAGTTCTATTCCGCGAGGTAAACTAAGTAAGAATGCAATCTTCCTTCTGCAGCTATAGCCAGAAGGCATCACAGAGGAGAGGCCTGGGGGTTTGTTTATCTGTCCATACATTTCTACATCAAAGCTGAACACTGGGAGGTTTTCAAAAGTCTCAAAAATAAACTGTATATAAAATAACTTTCGATATATATAAAGTACAGATTTCCTGAAATGAGGAGAATGCTTGGTGGTCTGAAACACCTAAATAACATTAAGGCTTAGAGCACAATTTGAGAGAAACTGTTTTTATCTTGGATGATTGCAAAACTGCAGGGTTCTCCTCTCATCTTCAGACAGATGTTTTTCTAGAGAAATGAACCTCATTCTGTTCAGTCATCAGGAGGGACAAACTGGAGAGATGGAGATAAAGGAAATCTTGAAATAATAATGTACCTGCAGGGATGTAAATAAAGCACTCACATCTGTGCATAAGTCTATAAGGAGGTTTGCTATATTAGGTAGGAGTCAGGCTCAAGTGTCCTGCCTTAGGAGGTCAGACAACTCATATTTAAAGGGATTTATGTCTTTTGTTAGAGTCAATGACACAATGCAAGCAAATATCTACTATAGCTACATAATCATCCATCCTGCAAAGTCATCAACTCAAGACAATCAGATGGGTTTCCTTAGAAATAAAACGTTTATGTCTTCTATATAATTTAACTATCTTTGTGAATTGCCTTGAGATGAATACATTAAATTGAATGGAATTGTTTTTCTAACTAAACTAAAATAATTTGTAATCCCGATCTTTGTTAGCAGGATTTTGGTCTAAAATGTTTGATTGCTACTCAAGGGCAGCTGGGACCAATGGGTGGTACTGGGGTGTTTCAGATGATTGAAGATGAGAAGAACTTATCCTGCCAAAAATTAAAGAAAAAGAAAAAAAAAACACGAATGAAAATATGGTATCTAATCATTATAATTTTTTTCCCCATTCTTTTAAAATATCCATCCATCCATTTCCTCCCGCTTATTCCATCACGATTGAGGTGGGGCTGGTGCCTCACTCCAGCAGTCTATTTGGGAAATGCAACATACACCAGGTCACCAGTCCGTCTCTGCTTATAAAGCTTATAAATTAAAATTTTTAATAATGTATGATACTGAGATTATCTCTAAATACTATTTTATGAGTTATGTTGGTGAATCTGAGCTTCACATGTATGTCTATTTAAACCTTTAAAAAATATAATATACATAAAAATACAATACATGTACATTAAAAACTGCAGAGTTACTAATTAGCCCTGAGCAATATTACTTTTTTAACGTGGTAACATAAACTAATTTTTGAGTTTCAATAAGCCAATTATGGATCAGCTGAATTTATGTTTTAAGTATGACATGCTTGTTTTTGTTCTTTCCAGGTCGGCTTTGAGGAAATGCTGTCACGGGTGTGGGAGTCCCAACCCAGAGTTATCAAGTTTTCTCGAAGACATCTGAGAGGTTCCTCTGCCAATGGTTTGAGGCGGCAAAAGAGAGATTGGGTCATCCCACCCATCAATGTGCCTGAAAACTCCCGTGGACCCTTTCCACACATGCTTGTCAGAGTGAGTGACAGTCTAATCTTTAATGAAAATAACTTTCCCTGATGTGAAATGTCTTCAGAAAACTTTTGCATACAGTTAAATCATCAGGACAATAAAATAAAAGTGATGCATTTTGTATCTTTGAATTTTTAGGACTTATTCAGGTCTCTGAAAAGAATATATCAAAAATAGGGAAATATCTTTTGTCAAAACTAGGCCAGGGGACACATTTCACATGGTATTTTCTACTTGCCATACATGGGAGATACGGGAAAAATTCTGCACTTTACTTAGATTTACATCACAATGTGAAGTAATTTGTATTCTGGGCCTTTGTGCATCAGCAGACAAGTAGACCAAAAAAATCTATCCTTGGAAGGCACAAAAATTCCCACTTGACGCTTAGTCTCAGAGGTAAAGACATGAGTATTACTCAAGAGTGGGATACTATGAGTCTTAAAACAGTTGACAAACCTAATTCCTTTCATTTTCAAGTAGTTGTTTCAAGTGTAAATGTGATAGCAGAGTATGAAGGTTTCACTTATGCACAGTTTCTGCCAAAAATCCCTTATAGTTTATTTTCCACAGAAAGTCAGGGATTTGAAGCCCCAGGATTTGCTTTACCCGGGTTTCAGGAATCCCGGGAAATGAATCAACCTGCTATCCACAGGGCATTAATTTACTTCAGCCTGAGAAAAAAACAACAAAAAAAACTGCACTAAGCCTTCAGTCCATTGGGTGGGTGTAATTAGAGACAGAACTGGTTTTCAGTGCCCTGAATTGTCATATCATGTGAAGTCCCTTCAAAAGACACTTTTTTTATTTTTGATTATTGTTGTTTCAGCGTATAAATAATAGTACAGATTTAAATAATCATCTATATAATTTATTCTTTTATTAAGCTTAGCTAAAAAAGTTTCAATAATTATTTGACTTGGATTTTTTTTTTATTAACTTGCATCTGGAACAAAGCACTGCAGGAATAGGCCTGGTTAACTTTAAAAAGTACAGGCTCTTTAATGGAACCAACACCCTGGGAAAGTGAAATAATCTGGTTAAATGTACGTATATCTAAATGTAACCTAAGATCTGAAAATCCCCGGTCTTTTTAAAAGGTATTGTTACCATTAGACTCTTTTTGCAATTATTTAAAATGTATGTGCTAGTACGAAATTTAGGTATTACAATATATCTACAACTGAAAACTAATGATTCTGCACATTTGATGACCTAAACAATATTTTTAACTTTTTTTCTGTAGGATTTAAAAAATATATATATAAGTTTATTTTAAAATAAACCTGCCTGCAGTTTTGCAACAATAGGTTGGTTTGGCCTTAAATAACTGTTTATAATCGTCAATGGCAATTATTGATAAGGTTTCCAAGTTTAAATCACTGGTTAATTGTGACATTTTAAAACAATACAAGGAGTTAATTTATGCACTGGCATTCTCAAAAAAGCTAGCCCCAGACTCATATATACATACAGTAGAATGATTAATTAACCACACTTCAATTTCCAGTTAAAATACTTTAACCAAAAAGCTCTTTATGTATCCTTGTAACATTGAATTGAACTACTAGTAAAAGTGAAAGAAATGACAAAAATGATAAAAAAAAAAAAAGAAAAATGACAGTGATAAAGATAAATATAAAATATAATATATGATGCAGTGACATCATATAAATTTTGTGGCCAAAACATGAATGAGGCCAAATTAGCTCATAGTTAACAAAGAACAACAGATGCACTGTTTATGCTTACCACCCATCTGGTGAATATCAAATCATCCTTTATTTGGCAGTTATCTGTGTCCTTCCATATTGGTTATATATGACTGAGATGAGATGCGCTAAGTGTTTTCAATAAATGCATCCGATACACATCGGTCCCACACACATCACCCAAGTTCAGTACACCCAATACTCTACCACGAACAGAAAGGAGCTTAAAAACACAGACTTGAGTGGAAAGAGGCAAATCTGTGGTTAAACTTAGCATATCTGGTCACTGCTTAGATGGATAGTTAACAGACCAACTTCTTGATGCACATGTCCTTCCCAATGCAGCGTGTGAAGAGTTGTTTTGAAAATGATGTAGCACTTTGCAGTCTGAACCTTTCCCAGTCTTTTGTTTTTCTGTATGCATTTTAGTACTTGTTAATACAACTCCCCTTTCTGTATCTTTTTATACATTTTGATTTTAATACTATAGAATATTTGCTTTTCTTTATATTATAAGCTAAAAGCATATATAACATTTCATTACCCTAGTTTGTCTTTAAATAATATATTTTACAAAAGTTGCTTTGTCTTTAGTGAAAAGTAAGAACATATATTTTTTTACAAGAGTTAAAGTTCTCTCAGGTTAAAAATAGTAGATTCTGTCACCACAAAAAGGACTGTTTTGTAACTGTGTACTGTAACCAGTACTTCATTTGGAAGCACAAAGCTTTGCAATCTGATTTAAGTTCACTATATGAAGACGAAGAGTAGAATTAATCAATTATTCTAAATTCTAATACTTGTTGCCATTTATTTACAGCTTATTGGCTGAGTAATTCCAGCCTTTATATCCATAGTTTGGTCTCTAAAAGGTTAATGAGAGAGTGTGAGCTGGCGTTAGCCAGTCAAGTCTTTGGGAGCCACCACCACATTAGATCACAGCAAGCTCTCTTATAAGTTCATTGGATATATTTCAGGGCAAAGTAGTGATATAAAGCCTAGAAGTTTGCTCACAAAATTAGCTGTGAATAAATTGCAACACACGTTTGAAGTTATTTTTGCCTTTCCCACTAATAATATTGACTTTCAAGTAAAAGCAAACCAGGAAAAGTTTTCTCATCTCGCTTAGTTAGAAACAGCTAATCATAGGTCAGGGTTTCTATGACAGCGTCCCTAGTCTCACCTGCGTGACTTTTATGGATGTGTGACAGTTTAAATTGATTCCTGGTGTGCTTAAGTACAGGAACATGACATTATTTATTAAATCATGAAAAAATTATTATTTCTTCATAAAATAATTCACCTTATTTAACTGAGGTCCATATAATTAATTATATATACATTTAAAATAATCTGTTTTTATTTCCAGTTTAAATAAAATAATAAATAAATTACACTTATAAAAATTTTTCATAATTTATTGACTTGTGGAACATTTCATTCTCTATAGTAGTATTGTGCATGTGTAGGTATAATATCTTATAAATCTCTTTAAGAAGCCTTTGATGCCCTTCTGATTGCCTATTGTGTGGCTGCCTAAGACGAATATCCAGCTCAATGTGATAGGATTTGCTGACTTCTATACACAATTAGGACTTCCAGTATGACATTATTCTGATTAATAAACAGCTTTTAATTTTTGTATGACTATTTTATTTAGTCATACAAAAATGTATAATGTTGATGGTTGAAGGAAAACTCCTGTCAGCAAAGAATTATCAATGGATCATTAACTATACCTAAAACTAATTTGTTTGCGGTGATTTAATGAGTTTAGCGATAATCAGTAAAATATTAAAATGATAATTTTTGACCCGATTACTGAATGCACCTCACTCCTAACATCTTCTGGCAGTGAAATCAACAACAATTATTTAAGATTTCGAGAGGGCTTCACCATTGAAATTTGCGAGAGCTATAGTTAAACTGACAATGCCCACATGCATAGTAGTTGGATGTTGTAATACATCGGGTAAAGTGAAAAAATTAGATTCATGATCCTCCATGGGTTCATCGTTGGATTGCCAACTTGAAGAAGGAAGATTTGCTTAAAACTTCTTGTCAGAGAGAAGAAGCGTAATATGTAGCCAACATATCTAAGAACAATGTTTTCAAAATGACTTGTTTAGGGCTGGGTACCGAACTTCGATTCTTTTATGGTCCCGACCGAAATGCTTCGGTTCTACAGAGTATCGAAACATGCCTCGTCTTTCGGTACCAAGTTTCTGTGATTGGCTGTAATTGGATGTTTTTCCTCGAAAAAACCACATCAGTGCGCATCCGCAGCCAGACAGACGAAAAAAGCAGATCCGCGGACGGACGTAAAACTGGGAAAAACAGTGCAATAATTACTTCTTGAAGTCTCTCACTAGGTTGCTTGCTGTTTTGTATCTCAGGGTTAGGGTCAGGGTTAGGGTTAATTGTTTGTTAAATTCTATGTTATTGAATGGTGCGTAAGATGCGCATGCGCAAGGATATCTTGTCTCAAGGCAAGACGTAAAAATACGACGAAATCCGACGAAAAAAACGTCAAAAATGTACTAAATACTGTGCATAACTTTTCATACGATTTCATACGAACTGATAATGAGAATACACTGGTAAGTTGCACCCAAGAATAAAAGTTAAACAGGAGGGATCTTGGACTTAAGACAGCTAGCTTTAATTATATAGAGACACCAAACCTGGTGGTCTTTTTAACCATGTTGAATACAGAGGTAACTATTGAAAAACATCTTCATGTACTACTGTCCTTTGTCCGTGTGAGACATATCTCCCTCTTACAATAGATATGTAATCATTACTTGCATAGATATACCTGTGTATTAACAAGGTATCGAAGCTTGTTCTAATCTCCCTGCCTTATGCGTAGCTGCATTCACAATACAGCATCCAATTAGAAATATAACCAAAGCAGCTATTAGTTGCATATAAATATAAGAAAATAATTTGTAGTTAAACCATTAATTTCCCATTTCTACTTCTGACAACACACCCTGGTTAAGAAAAGGTCCCTCTCCTTCCACTGTAACCAGCATTAACATTAAAGTGAAATCTTTTTGGGAAAGAATGCATTGAAATTTGGACTGAATAATACACAAAATCAAAGCAAAACTTCACAAAGTATCAAATTTGAACTAAAACACATTAAAAAAAATACCTAGTTATATTTAGTTAATACAGAAAGTGGAAAAATCTCCAAATTAGTACTTCGTGGGGGTTTCACACTTTTGTAGCGCTTGGCTCTCTGTGCTCTAATCTCTCCACACTCTGCCTCTTATCAGTCACCCACAC